TTTCCCATCTCCCCCTTCCTCTTCTTCGTCTGATCCCTTCCTCTTCATCTGTGTATGTCTGGACCTGGCGCCTCTTTTCTGTGTATAGCGCCAGGTCCCTTCACACTTGTGATGAGCATGATGTGTGTTTGGTCTGCGTAATTAGTATTCTAGCATTCTGCTTCGCTATCTGGTACCACGTGAAAGAGGGTCAGTCCCGGTCAGGTCAGGACTTGTATCTAAGTCTTCCACTGCGCTATAAAGCACCTTTTGCATGTATAGGAATGCACATTGTTTGTTGAGATTCCACTTGCACTGCATTGTCCATTCAGCCCTTTTTATCACATTGCGGATCCTCGGTTATTATGTACATTGCCCAACTGGGCATGTAACACACGTCATGTAGTACCGCCCGCTCCGCATAGGACGACCTACTGGGACATGGAAACATGCACCACCAGGCCACTGAATACCGCTTGGCCCGCTTGGTGCTGCCTGACCGTGCAGAAGAGCAAGCTGTCCATGATGTTCGCAATGTTTTTCTTTTTTTTGTTCCCTCATGATCCGCGCCGCAGATGCAGAAGCCACCCACTTGTTTGCATAAAGCATTCAAGATGTTGCATTGAGGGATGCAGTTGCAGGATTTGAAGGAGCCAGTAGTTTCAAAGTTGGCAAACACTGGTCAGACCAGCATGGCCGACTCAAAAGTGCATTCTCGAGCGATGTTCTTCGTGAGATTACAGCTACGGTAGGGGATAAATCTCACAAGTCCCCGAATTCAGAGTAGTGGGTGGGTTGCTGTTGCTGGCATTCAATGGAGAAGACAGACGGTCATTTAGGAATGGAATCCAAATGGATCAGATACACGCAAGTATGTAAAGCTTGTCAGAGGAGGAAAAGTATGACGCGGGCGCCATTAGGACTGCTGAAACTGTTTCCGATTCATTCCGGATCCGGAGACTCAGTGTCAAGCGATTTTATGGATACCAGCCTATTACCAGGGTCAAAAGCAGAAGAGGGAGGAGTCAAATTATGCTTATATATTAGACCAGGGTTGCATACCCGCCGACCGCCGACCACGACCGACGACCGTTTTGCAGCCGGCCGGTCGGCGGTCTGCCGACCAGAGAGAAAACAGCCATCCACTTAAAAGGGCCTTTACCCGATATAGGCCTCAGGCCTTGTAAAAATAAAGCAGCACGGGCCTTGAAAAAGTAAAGCATTGTGAAAAGGTATCTCGCCAGAGCTCAGAAACGTGAAAGCAGGTCAAAGGTCAAGTTCTCTATCAACAGGCATATCTAAAGCTAAGGCAAAGGGCATTGTCAAAAGACTTACCTGTTCACCAGGAGATGTGTATGTCATGTCTGTTTGGGTAAGAGTGTGTCTGTACGTGTAGGCAGTGTACCTGTTCGTGCAAAGTAAAGTGTCTGTTCAAGCAGTAAATGTGTCTGTTCGTTGAGAGTTGTGCCTGTCCGAAAGTACAGTCAATAGGCACAGTCCCAGTTCTGGTCTAAGTCCAGGGGTCAGTCCAGATCCAGACTTTCAAATCCAAATTCAGGCCGGGAGGCCTCAGCAGCAGTTGAACTTCATTGGGACTCTACTGGGACACATGCAATGCAGGGTCTGGGACAAGGAAAGAGGCTGAATTGAGCCAATGCAGACCCAGCAGGAGTATAAAGGAGGCAGCCAGCCTCATTCCTCGCCAGATTCTCCACTGGCTGCAATGCGTGGAAGTGCTGGTGCACTTGTGCGCTGAGTCAGGAGGAGCAGTGCT